GATTCCTGAAATTAATACACAAATTTTGTACAAGGATACAAAGTCTGCACTCAAAAGTCATTAGCCTTCCTGTACACAAACAATAAGCTCACTGAGAGAGAATTTAGGGAATCAACACTCTTCACAATAGTGTCCAAAAAAATGCTTAGCAATTGATCTAATGAAGAAAGTGAAATATCTATACCATGAAAACTATAGTACTCTTAAAAAAGATTGAAGAGGATATTAGAAATTAGAGAAATATCCCCTGTTCTTGGATAGGCAGAGTAATATAGTGAAAATGGCCATGTTTCCAAAATTGTCACATAGATTTAGCGAAATCCCAATCAAAATACTATCAGCATACCTCAAAGAACTAGAGAAAACAATCCTAAAATTCATATGAAATCAGAAAGATCTAGACTAGCAAAAGAAATTCTGGCAGCAAAGGCAAGAAAGGGGCATCACAGTTCCCAATTTAAACTTATGCTACATAGCTACCATGACTAAAACAGCACAGTATTGTCAAAGAAATAGACCCAAAGGTCAGTGGAACAGAATAGAAGGTGCAGAAAAACTCCAAGCACACTCAGTTACCTTACCTTTGACAAAGGGACCAACCATCGTTACTTGAAGAAAGATAGACTCTTTAGTAAATGGTGCTGGTAAAATTGGCTTTCCATATGCTGAAGACTGAACCAAGACTCTTATCTCTCATCATGAATTAAAATAAATCTTAAATGAATCAAATATCTAAATATAAAAACAGAATCACCTAATCTTCTGTAAAGGAGAAGAAATAAAACTCTCAAAGACATAGGTGTAGGGTGTTTCTGAACAAAACCCCAATCACACGGGAAATACACCAAGAATCAACTAGGATCACATTAAATTGAAAAGCTTTTGTACAGCAAAAGCCACAGACAGTGAAAAGACAACCTACAGTATGATAAAATTTTTACTAGCTATATCTTAGACAAAGGACTAAAATCTAGAATATATAAAAAATTAAAAAAATTAGACCATCTCAAATTTAAAGACCCAACCCAAAAATGGATATCTGAAATGAATAAATACTTTACAGATAAAGTACAAAGAGCAAATAAATATATGAAAATTGTTCAAAATCACTGGTCACTTGAGAAATAAAAATTAAAACAGCATTGAGAGTCTGTCTCACTCCAGAAAAAATAACTATCATCTAGAAATCAACCAATAACAAATACTTGTGAGGCACAGGAAAAGGAGCCCTTCTCCATTGTTGGTAAGCAGGTAAATTGGTACAGTCACTTGGAAATCAGTATGGAGACGCTTCAAAAATGGAAAACTAGAGGTTCCATTTGACCCAGCTGTGCCCCTTCTAGGTGTCTTCCTGAAATAGTAAAAAGCATTTTATCATGAAGATATATATACTCCTCATGTTTATAGCAACAGAGTAATAATAGCTAAATCTTGAATATGCATACACCTATCAATGGACGAATAAATAAAGAAAATGTGCGATTTTAAATACAATGGAGTGCTACTATAAAGAAGGATAATGAGTCATTTATAGGTAAGTGGATGCACCTGAAGATCATAATCTTAAATGAAATAAATTAGACACACAAGTTTAAATACACATTGTTTCTTCTGTGTGGGAAACCCAAAGGGTTACTAAGCAGCAAAATGGAGAATAGATATTGTAAGTAGGAAGATATGTTCAAACAGGGAAGGGAACAAAGAAAGGGGAGTGGGAAGGGAAAGAGGTGAAAAGGAATTTTTAAAAAGAGAATTGAAGGGAAAAATGGAAACATAGCTTTTTTCAATAGTGAGGGGAAAGGGATGGGAATTTAGCTCAGTGGCATAAGCACCTGCCTGGCAAGCACAAGATTCTGAGTTCAATCCCAAAATATTGCGGGGAAGAACAGCTGAAGGGAAGGGAGGAGAATTAAGATATGGATAGGTACAAATTTTCTAGGGCATATATGACTATCACATATGGCTAATATGTACTCATAAATATTAAGATAAAATGTTAAGAAGGAACAGTTGGTGGGGGGAAGAGAAAGAAAGACGTTTCAAATTGAATATACAGTTGCAAAAGTACAGAGAAATATATGAAACTAGATGGCATATCTGTCAAATGACAAATAAATTTTAACCAGAACATTATGTGCAAGCAGAGTGACTAGAGATTTGGAAAGGTAGATTGCTCACAGGTTGTAAATACCTACTTTATTGGCTAAAAATATTAACCTATAAAGCATCCTCATATATTTTTCTTTTTATCAGGAGAATAGTATCATGACTTAATAAAACTGGGCATCAATGTCTTCAAAAACTAAACTTTAAAATAGCTTCTTTACTTACTAGGTCTTATTCCATTCCAAAATCTAAATTGTGTCACTTATTTTTCCATTAATATTTCTCTCTACCTGTCCCCTCTATGTTCTCACAAATAAATAATTGGACAATGGACAACTGTAAATCTAATAAAATAATGAAAAGAAATAAACAACTAGAAAACATATATTTGGATGTTTGCTAAATATGCACGAGTTAGGTCTTCACAAATACGCAGAATGATACTAAAATTCTTTTCTAATATTAGCAATAATATGTAATCATAGTTTGCTTCCATTTTAGTCCAGTTACATTAATAGATCAGTTAACATGTTTAAAAATTAAAGTATTAGGAAATATACTTATCATTTAACGGACACATGCTCCATATGCATTTGTTGTTTTTTTGAATGATTTTTTCCCATTTTAATATTATTCTCTGTGTGGAGAAATCCTATTCTTTTTATTATTTCAGTTTCTACTAACAAAGGACCATGCACGTGTGAACAATCAGCAATTTGTTAGTATTCAGAAAAAAATGTTGGGAAAAAATCCATCAAATTTATTTGAAACAGTTTAATAAGAGGCTCCTACAGATTCAGCAGCTCTAGACCAGCTGGCATCACGAAACCTGGCTCGATGACAGTTAGCTTTGTGACATTTGATAAAGTTTGTCATCTACTGGACACTATCTTCAATGAAATTTGAAAGATCTGGACTTAATTCTGCCTAATCATTCTCACAAGCTCAAAATTCAATGACAATAACATTCAGTGGGTTTACTCTAATGTACAGTTGTTCACCATATAATACACTTCATGAGGACTTTTGAGTTGGTTAAACCCCCAGAAGAATCTGCTCACTTCACTTTCTGAAGTATTTTACTATATGTACATCTGGTCATGATAAGAGGCTTAGCAATTTTTGAATTATTTATCAGCTTATATAAGCAAGCCCTGTAAATCACCAAGCATAATTTCCCATTCATTCAGGTTATAAGTTTGAGAAGCTAAGAAAGCAGAAAGAGGGAGAGAAGAGCATGGAGAAATTGGGGATAGAGAATTTGAGATCCACCAGAAGATAATCCCTGCTTCAATACCAAAATTTCCTTTTTTATAATTTGCCCTAATGGTTCATCCTAGCTTTGAAAGGTCAGAGATTGTTATCACCCAGGCAGGTGACACATCCATTTATCACACTCAGAATAATGTGAAGGCTTTGGAGAACTCCGAAAGGAGTGGAAGAATGACTCTTTCTTCTTTTTTTAAATTTTTTTTCTTTTGGCTAATAGGTTTTTGTTGAACAGTAATAATATATGTCACTGTTCAGCTTGCAATATGAAAGAAGTAGTTTTAAAGAATTTGTAATGATCACCTTTCTATTGAAACACTGAAAAGTCAATTAACAGACACAGAGCCAATCTCCAGCATCTTTTACTGGAGGGAGATGAATCACAGGACTGTTCTGCAGAAAGATGAGACAGAGTCAAATGAGTCAGAACAATTTGGCCCCTACACATTAGAAAGAAAGGCATATGATATTTTTCTCCAAATAACTTTTTCTACATGGTTCCCAGCTAATTCCTTTAGCTGAATTTAGCCTTCCCTTTTGATCAGTATTCCTAAATGCTCAAGGCATGGAGACTCAGATTTTAGAATATTGCCATCTGGATTATTTAATTTAAAAACACCCATGTTTTTCCTTACAACAGTTTTCAAAGTATAGAGCTTTTGCAAAAGGGAGTGAGATAAGAGATGGAGGGAGAATTAAAGTGGGGGTGTTAAAAACAGTTAAAATGAATTATGTACATATGTCTACTCCTCACAATAAATGTCACTTTGTACTGCAAAGATATACTAGTAAAAAACTAAAATGGCATAAGAACCTTTCTCACACTAGGCAAATACAGCGTAATATTTCTTACTGACTAGTTTTTATTCTTTCTTTTTTAAATTTTATTTATTTATTTATTTTGGTATAGGAATTGAACTCAGGACCTTGCATTTTCCCAGCAGGTGCTTGTGCCACTGAATTATATCCCCCGCCCTCTTTCCTTTTCTATAGCTATTTTGTGATTCATAACTGAACAGTCATTAGATGTCTCATATTTACTTCATCCAAAAGAAAGGAGAAACAACATTTCTGTAAGTATGAGGTGCCTCTCTGAATCTTTCATCATTTCCTTTTGGCAGGCTCAGTATTTGTTCTCACAGTGTACTTCCCCTGTCCCTGCCTAGTACCAAATACCTAGCATAGAAATCAACATCCATATAACCAGACTACCTCTTTATTGTTGAGCACCTAGTTTATATATTTTATCTGCATACCATAAAATGTGTATATACTAATACTGCTTAGTATCACTATTTGTGGATCATTTAGCCTCCCTGTTCATGTATGTATGCATATACGTGTTTGTGTGTGTGTGTGTACTGCAATATATTGTGAACTCTATTTCTCCCAGTGAAAGATTTTGCAAGAGCACTGTATTTATTATATCATTCTTCTCTTATGTCATATTATTCTGGAGGGAAGGGACACCATGTTTTGACTGCTATTGCTACCCATTAAATCTGTGGGTAAAAGCTGAGTTTCACCTGAAGAGTGAAGTGATCATCATAAAATGTGTCTTCCAACTAAGAGGGGGGCATGAGGGAGAGGTTTCTTCCCATGAGAGTGAATGAATTCAAACTTACCACCTGGGCTCCTGGACAGGAGTTCATAAACTTACAGGGCTTCACTGGCAGGCAAGGTTCTGGCTAGGAAAGATAAAATCAAGATAAGGAAATATACAAGAACTGCTATCCCTGTGAGAATAGAACATAAATATTTTCCAATGATAGTGAATGAGCCAGGACTGCACAGTTTTAAGAGCAAAACTCCTGTATTTATTAACTGATTCTATACTTCTGTGATTGTTCTACTTTTTATATTCACTATTATTGGCCCCCCACAATTTCTCCACTACTGGAAATTTCCACTATTTCAACTCTGCCCTGGGAAGCAAAGGAAGGGAAGGAAGAAATTGTGTTTTCCATTGTTTGTTAGTTTTCAAAATAACTTCGTTTCTTTTTTTTTTTTTTTTAGCATTTTCTCTGTAAGAAATTTAGAAAATGCAAAAAAGTATTAAAAAGATCTAAACATTAATAGAATCTTCAGAGAACACTACTGCTGATCTTGTGATGTATTCACTGATGATTTATTCATTTATGAAAAATTCCTGAATGTGGTAATTCCTGACATATATAGTCCTATACCCTACTGTTTCCTGCTTACCTTTGAATTTTAAATGTTTTCTTTTAATTTTGAACAATTTTTCAAACAATTTTTAACAGATTCAACTTTACAAGTATACATACTATTTTTAGATAGCAAGAGATCAGTAAATCTATTTTAACATATGTTGGGAGGGAGATGATATTTTCAGTCTGTATTGTGTACACATTTACATTGTTCCAGATCTTGTTCTCTTTTTTTGAAATTTTTGGCACACACACTATCTTATTCGCAGCTGATAAAGTTGCTTCCTATCTCATGAAAAATACAGATATTATTAGGAAAGACGTCCAAAAGCTCCCCCACCCTGTGTATGCATTTAATTATGGGCATCTCTCTGTCTTTTGCTTGAGCTATAATGTTGTTTTTGCTCTGATATTTCAGCCCTCCATGGTACACAAGTCCCCTCTTGCCTAGTCCAGGATATCACTCTGCCAACTCTCCAGCCTTTTCTACAGTAGGCACTTTGAAGGTTTCTGAATCCTCCCATCTTGCTTAATAACATGGAAATGGAAATGGAAGCTAAGTGAACGCCAGATCATGACCTCATCTTGAATGTATTACTGCCTCTTTCTCACCTGTATCGGTTAGTTTATGCTGCATAATAAGTATTTGCATGACACAAAGGCTTGAAACAATAGTATATGATTCTAAGGAATCATCGGATCACCCCTTCTCTCTGGGTCAGTTCAGCTGATTCCTTCTAGGCAAGCATGGGCTTTCTCATGTTAGGGTTCTAAGTGCAAAAAAAAAAAAAAAAAAAAAAGGCAATCCTCAATACACAAGGATTGTTCATGCCCCTGCTTGTTTATGTTTGCTAATGTGCCATTGGCCAAAATAAATTATATTACAAAAAAATCTTTGTGTAGAAACATAGCTAAAAATAGATAAGGGAAGGGAAATTATCCATTTATTGTCAGAGCTGCAGATACGGCAACAGCTTTACTTGGATAATTTCTCTCACAGATGTTTTAAAAATGGTTTAATGTTTAGTAGATGGATATTTTGAATACTAATTTGTATCCTTTTGAAATGTAAGGCCAAACTGAAGTAATCGACTACAGGTGTATGAATGAGTCTAGCAAAAAAATCCAAAGGGTCTCTGGATAGCATGAGCTGCTACCAAAGTTGGAATGTTTACTGCCAATCTTGCAGTGTCTGCTGCATTTAGCAAGGAGAACTTCAAAGCACTGATGGTGGGTAGATTCCTAGAATAGGGGAAAGGATTGACAGTATTTTTTGAATAAATATTTTTACTGACCTAATAGAATATCAGCCTAATAGCAGTAAGCAATACGTTTGCATTCTGTTCAGAGTAGTTTTCCTTTAAGGCTTGTTTGCATAAAGATCTCTTTTCTCCCAAGCAATCAATTGCATAAGGCCTGATTGTTAACTTGGGGAGGATGATGCCAAGATCAAGCAAGTGAGAACAAGTTATCACAGATGAGCCTATTTAATCAAGAAGAAAAAATATTATGGAGAAAAAACTGCAAAGTCATGCAATCCTAGAAATTAAAACAGTAAGACTAGACAGCAAGAAATTTCTAATGGAAGTGTTAGGAAGATAGAATTTGGTCCAACAGGTGAGAAAAGATGGCATTTAGAGGTGAGAGAAAAGGGTGGTGTTGTCTGACCACATGTTGAAGCAGAATCACACAAAACATGGGAATATTGGATCAAGAGGGAGACAAGATAATATTTACTACCATCAAAAATTTACTACCTATAATCCTTTAACAAGGACTGCACACTGGAGAGAGCTAAACTTTTGGATAATATTCAGCAATGAGTTTACATAATCCAGCTAGTGTCCTCCTAGGAAATGAACATCTAAATGGCTAGGGCCCTTCATGGCGTCTTAGTAAAGTCCCTTACCTGTTGTCAGGCCATGAGTATTAATTAATGTTTCTTTGTACTTCCTGTCCTGTTAAATAGAAAATATATTGTTTTAATGGAAAACTGTGAAGATTAAGAACATATATAAATTATATTATATATATCATAAATATCATATATGTTATACATACATATATATATATAAAGGATGAACAGACATAGATTTCAGCAGTGGTATAATTAATGTCAGACAAAATGACCTAATTACTCTTGGCTAACTATTCTGTAACTTGGGCAAGTTTCTAGCATCTTTGGACCTCAGGATTAATTTGTGATGTTCAGAGAATCCCAAAAGCCTTTTTTGATTTTTTAAAAAATATTATGCTATACTGAGACTCTGCTGCACCTACTTTTGCTTGAGAGGGATGGAAATTTGTTATTAATTATTTTATGTTTTCCTTAGGCTGAGGTAAGCAGGTCTTCTCAGAACTGGTGGCATTGTTGAACTGGAAGTGAAGAAGGGCAGATGTGCTCAGCCGGGAAAGATTCCTCATGTACAGTACCTGCCTCTTGTGAATATGCTAGCATACTTCGCACAGATGTCTCTTTGTTTCTGAACAGGAAACTAATTGCCTTTCTTGTTTCAGTCTAAGTTTTCCTATATTGCTCTGTTAATAGCAGGAGACATTTCTCAAACTTTGCGAAGTCTTCCCCAGTGATGTCTCTAGACAGATGCATCTCAAGTGTCCCGCATCACAAGAGGGAACCTTTGCCTTTTAATCTGAAAAGTCACCTTCATTCAGTTATTTATGATTATTATTTGCCAATTATCTGCACATATACAGTTCTGGCTGGTGGCAGGGGGTAGAAATGATTGAAGAGAAAATGCTTTTCCAGCTTCATACTAAGCTCAAAAATCTTTTTTTCTTCCTTTCTTTTTCTTTTTGTTTGTAACCGGTGATGCCAAGGTTGGTGAAATCTGCCAGACTGAAAGCCTAGGAATAGGAAATGCTCTTCCCAGAGGCACCAGGGAACTAGTACCTCACAAGAAGCAGCTGCCCACCAAGCCCAGCTTCCCCAGTGCCCCCTGCTGTTGTTTCCCTAGCAACCTAGCAGAGCTTGGAGTATCCCTGAAAGTCTTGCACAGTTGCTACAGAAACCCCAGGGCTTTCCTAATTAGAGCCAGGCTGAGCAGTTGCTGGTGGGAATAGGCAGACTTGCTTCTTTTGGGAAAACTCACTTTGAAAGGCAAACCAGAGCATCTTTCACCCATGCGCATTTGCCTCTTACACTGGTGAGTTTATGCACACTTGATTTGCCTCATTCTGTGGATGAGCAGCACTGGGCCTTGGGGCTCTGGAACAATCCTTGAAATCCTTGGTGTAATGCTGAGTCTCATAGCTAGAGAAAATGTAGCTACCCAGATGTTGCGGGACAAACCTGGTTTCAAATACTCTGTCCTTTATCTCCATGGGAATGGATGTATTTGACAGCTTACTGTGTGACCTGATTTTCATTAGTAGGGTGGCAACAATGTGGGGATTTTCAGAAAGCTTATTGGCTAGTAAATGAGATAGGACTTGACCAGAACAATTTGTTTAAGTACAACCAGAAATGAGTGGAAAGTTGTTCTTGATAGGTTAACAACCTCTCTGCTGTGGAACTGATGTTTTGACATGATAGAGCTTCGGTTGTTATTTTTTAATGATCAAGTTAGAGTACAAGTTTTTACAATCAAGCCATGAATATGTTCAACTCCCTTGTGCGTATTTTCTTCCTTTGCCCCAACCAGAGAAAACCAAATTTCCGTCCTCAGTGAGGAGTCTGTGCTCCTTCAGTTTCATCTCTGACATGCCCATTCCAAAGGCAAGCCATGCGATGACTTGGTTTGGGTCTACTAAGCCAAAATCTAGAATTATGGCAGTCTTCTGCCCATGTACACCTGCTCGATCTCTTTTCACGCTTTCCTCAGTAATTCTTCCTACTCCTCTCACTGTTCATCCAGTTCTCTGCCAACCCATCACTCTCCTCATTCAACAGCTATAGTCTCTGACATAATCTCATCCAGAGACTTTATGTAGTATGAAATGAACAATTTGACCTTGGAGCAACCACTTACAATTTACCTAAATAGGAACTATTTACTCCTTTCAGTTTTAAGATGCCCCAGTTTTTCATAACTCTTCTTCCACTCCTCTAAAAATATCAGTTATTGATCACCGTATCTCATGTCTTCAAACTGTCCATAAGTACTGGCTCTTTTACTTCAGATTATTAATATATTTGAGAACCTAACCATAAAGAAAACAACAAATCTTGGTCCTCTATCTGCCACTCTATCTCTTTCCCTTTTCTTAATCATGTATTTGAAATTAGTAATGCATCCATTCATTCATTTATTCATTAAATAGAATTGTTAAATACATACTTTACACTGTCCTGGGCTCTGGGTTACAATGATGGGTAAAACAAATAAAAATTCTCATACTTTCCATGTAGATATCATCTACTATATCGTCTACTATAATGAAAGAACATAGATGATAGCTAATAAACAAATAATAAAAATAAATAAATAATACAGTGTGCTACAGCATAATAAGGGATGTGATGAAAAAAGTGGAGAATGAGACAAAATAATAAAAACTGCAATTTATAAATAAAATGATTATAATTTATAATAGCAACAATATACTTTGAATACTCCCATACTTATTACGGCATTATTCACAATTTCCAAGGATGGAAAATCTTATTTTAAAATACCCATAATACTCAAACTCAGAAAAATGTGAGCATCAGGGACTAGATGAAGGAGGAAACTGACAGTTGCTTTTTAGTAAGTATAAAATTCTGATACTGCAAGGTGAGTAAATTCTAGAGCTAGATGCAGTTGTGGTACTTTTACACTTAAAAGTTTTAAAAGGGTAGATCTCATAGTAACTGTTCTTATCAAAACAAAAGGAGGAGAGAAGAAAGAAGAGAGAAAAGAAGCAAAGAACAAAGTTCTTCCATCTATTAAATGTATAATTTTTGTAAGGCTCCATAACTTCATTTGTAATTCAAAGATAACGATGCTACTTCAGAGTGTTGCCATTATTGGAGTGTAACATTATCGAAATTATTTAAGGTGTTAATTCACTAATTAATAACTAAATAGTAAACTTTATTGCTGCTGCTTTTATTACTTTTCTGAAGGAGGGTTTCATTGATTTACCAGTGTAAATAGATATCCTTACTCATACACTAACTATACACTTAACTCCCTTAGAACGTAACAAAGTACCACTATTTGTACACAACCTGTGATCTTACCACTGTACTATAAATTTGTGGAAGATGTGGAAGAGCCTTCCAGTGCCTCCCATTTTCTTTCTTTTGCTCTTTCTTTACTAAGAACACTTGTTATGTTTAACCGAGTATGTTTGTTTCCAGGACTTTCTTTCACTTGTTTCAGACAATCAAACCAGAACTTAGTGGCTAACAGCATTAAAAATAGTTTTATTATTTTGTGTTTGGAGATCAGCCATGCGGGAGAGGCTTGGAAAAGGTGATTTCAGGCAGGTGGAGATGGGACTAAAATAGAAGAATGGAACAGAGCATTAGAGAGCAGTCTAAGATTCTCTTCGTGAAGCTGTAGGGCCTCTCTCTAACGTCTTTGTTGAACCTCCTCAAAGAACAGTGAATTCAGGACTATCAGATTATTTATATAGCAGCTCTTGGGTTCAAAATGAAGGTTCCCAAGGGAGTGATCTAGAAACTGTCATCTCTTGTTAGCTAATCTCTTAAGTTACACAGTGTCATTCTTGCCAGTCACAAGTTAGCCTAGACACTAGGGAATGAAATATAGATCTCAACTGTTAGTGGAAGGATTGTCCCCATTATATAAAAGGAGCATGTGAGACGGAAACTAATCACGGTTATATTTAGAAAACATAGACTTACCTACAGAATAAATTTTTAAAATTTAGACGTTAACTATAATTTTCAGTCACACATAATAAATAAATGTGAGAGAATAGACAGATTTCCCATGTGAAGCACATGTAGACGTGATACCTCAAGAAGGTAGAACATTGCTTCTACCTTGATAAATGTTGGTTGTGCATAGTGACCTTCAAAGACGGTATAGTGACTTTCAAAGAAACAGCAAAGAAAGGGAAGAAAATTAACAAATATTACCTCACCCAAGGTGATCAAGGATAATAAATACAGTGAAAAATTATGATGATAATATACACCACTGATATGTTTGAAAGAATAACATTTTAACTGTGTGATCATCTTCCCATAAACCCATATAATCATAAGTAAAACATTAGATAAATCCCAGCTGGGGGGCATTTTATCAAATATTTGTCCAGTGTTCCTCACAAGTGTCAAGGTCATCAAAACCAACGGAAGACTGAGAAACTGACATAGCACAAAGGAGACTAAAGAGATAAGGCTACATGTAACATGGTACACTGGGTAGGATCTGAGGAAAGCAAAGAGGTTACTAGATTAAAAACTATAATGCAGTAATAATAAATGTGAACTGTAGCTTTTAAAATTATGTATCATCATTGGTTCATTAATTGTGCCAAAAGTTCCATGCAAATATATGATGTTAAAAGACTTTATTCACTTTATTAACTTTGCAACTTTTCTTAAAATCTAAGAAATCTAAAATAAATAGTTCATTTAAAAAGTTTGAAAATGTCCAAGAAGTGACTTATTAAGGTGATTCTAACATGCACATAATTATTCTAAAGTCTAGGATACTCCAAGCTATCCACCTGAAAATATAATACTAGCATCAGTTCAGTCTCCAGGGCACAAGACTCTAGGCTGGCATTGTATCCATAGCCTTTGGGCCTGACCTACTACCAGCCTGGCCCTCAGAGCCCGGAATCCACAGACTCCCGCTCCAGGCCAGGTGACCAGAATCACCCTGGCTCTAGTATGACTGGCTGAACACCAGGGTATTCTATACAGCTCCAGGCCTCAGGCTTACCCTAAAATCATGCTATTTTATATCCCCAAAGTCAGGTCAGCACCTAAGAACCCACCACCACCCTGGTGTTAGGTTGATACCCATGGACCTTAATTCTAGAGTATATCCTAAGGTTTCAAACACCAAGCCAGTACCCACAGAATCAAGGCATAGGCCTATTGCAGTGGACATGGCCTCCAAGTTCACTAATGAAAAACCACAACCCAGGTCTACATTTGCAGATCCACATGCAACTTAAATTCCAGGGTTACCCCAGAACAAGACTAGCCCCTTTGGATGCAGACATAAAGCCTCTCCCAGTGCTATATCAGTTTCCAAGGACCTGGGCTCCAGGTCCCCTCCATAGACCTACGTGTCAACCCCTATAACTCTTTACCCCACAACCAGCTTGAGAACTCCAGCAGAAATTGCACCCCAGCCTACATCAGGCAGGCCACTCAGAGGCTATGGGGAGAGAAACTTGAAGACTGCTGGCTTCTCTAAGTAGACAGTCTATGAAAATAACAAGTTATTGGAAGGTATTTAAGAAGCTAGAAATAAAGCAGCCCTGTGACCTAGTCATCCCACAACTGAGTGTGTGTTCAAAAGAAATGAAATCAGTATGTTGAAGTGTTACCTGCCTGGCTATATTCACTTGTTCATGCTTCGTTATTCGCAATAGCTGAACTATGAAATCAACCTAATATTTTTTTTACCAAAATATGAGTGGACAAAGACACGAAGAGCATATAAACAATGGACTATGGTTCACTTTTAAACAGTGACAGTGCTGTCATTTGTAGCATTCTAAATGAGGGATATTTTGTTGAGAAACACAATCCAGTCACACAAAACAAGCACCACACAATCTCATTTATTCGTGGACTCTAAAACAGATGCATGGAAATGGTGGAATGGTGGTTACTAGGAGCTGGGGGAAGAGGGAGAGGTCAGTGAATGTTAGTCAAATGTTAAAAGTTTCAGGTATGCAATGAGTAAGTTCTGGAGATATAATGTATGGTATGATGACTTTAGTTAATAATTAAGGACTGTAAATTTAAACTTTATTAAGAGAATACACTATTCTCACACACATGGAAAAAGTAACTATGAGACTAATGGGCTATGGGCTAATCAGCTGGTGTCATTCATTTCACAGTGTATATTTACATCAAAACATCATACTCTGTATTCACGCAATTGTAATCATAAATAAGACGCTAAAATTACAAGACTTATAAAAAGAAAGTAAGATAACATCTTTGTAATCTTGGAGTAGGGAAAGACAGTTCTGGACATGAAAAAAGAGACTCCCACATATGTGGAATGTGGAAATTAGAACTTCAGTGCAATCTAAAAACTTCTCATCAAATATGTAATTATAAAACCTAAAAAGAAAAACCACAACCTAGATGACAGTATAAACAATACATGTATCTAATAGGTGGCTTGTGTCTAGAATTTATAAAGAATTCCTAGAAGTCATTTAAAAAGACATATTATTCCATTAGAAAAATGATTCAAAAGAAAAATAAATCAAGAATTAACAAACACCTGAAAATAACATTAACATCATTAGCCATCAAAATTAAAAATTGAATCTACAATGATTTATCATTGTACACTCCTTAGAATGGCTAAAATTGAGGGTTGATAACATCAAATATTGGTAAGATGTGAAGCTTCATAAACTTCATAAACTGCTAATGGGAATCTATATGGTAGAATCACCCTGCAAAATTTTGGTAGTTTCTGACAAAGTTAAATATCACTACTGTATAACCACCCATTATGCTTCTTTAAAATCTATCCACTTGTCGATGTTTTGACTTGTATATTGATATCAAATATCTATAAATTAGTGCTAATTCATTAGTAGATTCATTAGTAAATTAGTAAATTCATTAGTAAAATGCCCTCTTTCAATTTTTCCATTTTCCTTCCTGTAAATTTTAAAAAGGACAGTTTCACTGAGTTTTAGCCTCCAAAACGTCATAGTTGTCATTGTGGGGATAGACAATAAACTTACAGTTTTGCTGTTACAGTAGATTGAGTGATCATGGCAGGTGCGGTAGGGATCATGTCTTAATTGTTTTGTTTCTCCAATGCTTAACATGGAAAGATAGAAAAGAAATATTTCCTAAATCAAAATGAATGATTATGTAGAGATAATCTCTAAGATATTTCTAGAATCTAGTGACTTAGGTTGTTCAACACATTCCAGAGACTTCCTGAGCCACTTTACCAAATTTATTAAAATACACACCCCAGAAAACACATATCATCTGGTATCAGTTAGTAATAGAATGTTGTGTCTCTTTCATGATGAATTATTTTGTTTACTTCCAGTTCACTTCCTAATTTTTTCTATGAGGGAGGAGAGGGAAATTTGAAGAGTGTGTTTTCCCATTTTGAGGAAATGTGAAAATATCCTGAATGTAGCATCAGGAAGGGAAGTTTTCAATGCATGATATATTGTATATTGTTAAATTTTGGGAAATTTCTGAGTTCACCACCTCACCCAGTTATTTCTGTACAATTACAAAATTACCAGGCAGTTCCCCAAGGAGCATGCACCATGGAAAATTTGAGGGAACGAATTTCTAGTTATGTGGCTATGTTTGATTCCTGCACATATCTGAAGATATAGGCTTGTAGGCACGTAGAGTCATAACTGTCTCCAAACAAGAAAAGTGTTAATCAAGACACAGCAGGCGATGTGAATGAAAATAGCATAGAGTCCTGTTTGTCTTTTCCCCCTGCAGCTAAGACCGTCCCAAAACAACCAATTCTTACTTCAAGCAGCAGTTATTAAACAGGCACTATCCATGTCTTTTGAGTCCCGGGCTTCCTATCCTAATCCATCCCTTGTACATTGCTATCCATGCCCGCTGCTACCTGAGTCTTCACCTCATCATCAGATGCCTGTCTCTCTTCTCAGCCCCTTCCTGAAGCATACGTCCTCCTGCAACCTTCCTACCTAACCAATTCTCACTTCCATCCTCTGATTCTGCATTTTCATCACATCTTAGACCCGATACAGATGCCTGTCTCTCTGTCTCAGCCCCTTCCTGGAGCATACCTCCTCCTGCAACCTTCCTACCTAACCAATTTTCACTTCCATCCTCTGATTCTGCATTTTCATCACATCTTAGACCCGATACAGAAATTGCTTTCCTATCTCAGATGCAGACTTCTCTCAAGTCAGTAATAAACTTCTCACTTATCATCTTTATTTCCAGCCACTGGGAGGATGTTGACATCTTCCAGTATGAACTCAACTATGGTGACTCTGTCCTTTTCTCCACAATCATAAAACTGAAGACAGGAAAACGGAATGCCTAAGAGCTAGAACCCCAGAGCCCAATTCCAAGATGCACATTCCTTGTTTCACTTTGACAATGTTGTTTTTCGAACCCATTTTGCTTCAAATTTTTATTGATAAGGTGGTGGTAAATATGCCTTAGATCTAGATCTGAAGTAGGAAGTATGTAAAATAATGTATCATAAGGAATTGTATTCTTCACTTATTAAATAATCAGTGAATGTTTGCTTAATTATTATTAATATTAGTATGTACTAGTATTTCCCTATATATACAGCTGGGTTTCTCTCTCAGTACATTGCCTAACTTGGCTTCAGACTCCATAACTGGATCCCATCCTGACACACTGTAATCAGGATTCCGTCTTAATAAAACTTTTCATTTCTCAGTAAGTTCAAAGATTTACTTTATTTTTACTGTTTTCCCGTCCCTCCTACCATTCGTTGGTATATATTACATTCTCATTCAAGTATCCAAGTCACATGAGTATAAGTAGCTTGATTTTACCCTGGAACCCCTGTTGCTGTGGACTGGATGTATATGGAGAGACTGTTAGCCAGTTGAATTTCCCTCTGACAAGGTAACAGAGACGCAAACTGTTACCTATTACTGCTATCTCTGACAAGAATTCTTTGCAGCTGAACAGCTTAATCTGTTCCCTCAGCATTTGCTACAATTCACTATTAATTCCAAAATCTGTGGCAATTGAATTTTTTTAATTGCACTTGAAAAGAAACTGCTTTCTTGTTGAGCATGATGGTGCTTAACTCTAACTTTAGCACTTTAGAAGGCAGAGGCAGGAAGATCACAAGTTTGGGCCCAGCTTACTCGCCAGGACTAAAAAAAGGCATGTTTTTCCAATGTTGTTCTTTTCCAATGTTTCCTCTCTCTCTCTTTCTCTGTCTCTCTGTCTCTCTGTCTCTGTGTCTCTGTCTCTCTGTCTTTCTCTCTCTCTCTCTCTCTCTCTCTCTCTCTCTCTCTCTCTCTCTCTTCTCTCTCTCTCAGTTTGTACCAGGGGTTTAACTAACAACTTTGCCCTTGCCAGGCAGGCACTTGTACTGCTGAGGTAAATGCCCATCCCACCCCAATGTTGTTTTTTAACAAGTGGCCTAGTAACAGATTTCAATATTTAAGTTTAGGTGTTGCATACAGAATTACTTCATGATCCAAAAATAAATAAATAAATAAATATTAAATTGTTCGAGGCTTCTCTCAAGAAAATATTTCACCACTTATTTTTAGATACCTTTTTATTCTGGATGTTTAATTTGACATTCTTCACCTTGTAAAATAAATTTATAGAACTTTTACATTGTATATCAATTGTCCATCATTTGATCTTTTTAAATATTTACTAACGCGATTGGAACTAAAGGTCATAAAGCTTGTACAGTTTGTTCCGCAGTAAGCACATAGTAAGGGTCAGAATATTAAGCTAAAGTTCCATAAGTTTAACGTAAGTGCATTTTGAAGTGAAATCAAATGCTCTTCCTGGTAATCATGATAATGGACATAGAATTAATGATAAAATCATTTAATTTTCATTTCTTGGTCAAAAAGAGAAATATGACAGTTTGTGTCTCTCCATGAGATTTTTTTTTAATGTGCAGCTTTTATTTATTCCACTTGCGTTTGGGCATCATTACAGTGGGTCTTAATGAAGTCAGCCAGATGCGCTTTCTTACAAAGCAAACCCATCTTTTAAACATCTCATGCACTTCAGAAGCCACAATGGCTGTACTTCTGACTCATGCTGATCCTTCTCCTTGGGCCAAATTGCAAGTTGAAACTGCCTATTAATGAAACCAAGCAGCAATGAATAAGCTGTGACACACATTTACGGAACAAGATGTTGAGTGAGAACATTCCTATGTCTAATATTTGCTTTTAGAAGTCACAACCTGCAGTGAAGTCACAGTGACATGATACTTTTCTCTTGCAGGAAGTTCATGTCATCACCAAGCCACTATAATTGATTTATAACACTAGTCATAAAGTGTCAGAAGTGAGAAAGTTAAAACAATGCATTTTGATATTATTGTAACAATGTGACCAACTGGGAAGTGTATATTATACATCACATATTCTGAAAACCAAGAACATAGGCATTAAAAGTCATGGAAAAGCAGTGAGATTTGGCCAAATGACTTGAAAGAAAGTGACTTAATCTTTTGGGGCTGCTATAACAATATTATAAATTGGGTGCTAAAAGAAACATTCTATTCCCCACAGAACTGGATATACAGGAGTCTAAGATCAAAGAATTAGCAGATCTAGTATCTAATGAAAGTCTATTTTTGATTTACAGACTGCAGATTTCTCTGTCTTTCTGAGAGAGAGATCACCCATTTCTGTTTATAAGGGTTCCATTCTAATGGTGTAATCACCTTCCAAATGTCCCACTTCTTAATCCATCACACTAGAGGTTAAAATTTCAGAATATGAATGGGGATGGGGAAAATTTATTCTTCAAGGGTATGCTGAAAATATATAAAGTTCCCAGGGGCCTGGAGATTTAGCTCAGTGATGTAAGCACCTGCCTTGCAAGTGCAAGGTCATGAGTTTGATCCCATACCAAAAAGAAAATATATAAAGTTCCTTAAGGAGTTTATTAGCCAGAAAAGTTTTGAGTAGCTATTTAGACATTCAATAATATATTATGGTTACTGAGAACACATTCAGCAAAATTCAAAACCATAATGTGCATATTTAACTATATGTACAAATGCTTATCCATTTATGTACTGGATATAAATGTATATGTATATGTATATGTATATGTATATGTATATGTATATTCATGTCACAATTATATGCAAGGGAACCAACGCTGTACATGATGAATGCAGCATACTATATATTGAGAGATGTAGATAAATGATCAGAGTTGAATGGGAAGCACTCAAAGAAATTTCTAGAGAAATGTGTTTCCAACTGGGCCTGAAAATATTAGTAGAGGTCAAGGAATAATGATTTCCAGTAAGAGGGTGAATTGAATAAGGAAAGATAGCTACAGTTTAAATATGAGAAATGGCAAACCAGTTAGGTTGGTTCCTGTAGAAAGGCTACATTGACAAAATATGAAGAATAATTTTGGCCCATAACGATGGTGTTTTCAAATGTAAGAAAGATGTCTCTCTAAACTAAAATCCCTACAATGCCAGAATTAATCTCTTATAGCACCATTTGGACTACCTTTGCTCTTCTGCTCAAAGCCTTCATTGGCTCGTTATTCATTGGGCGGAGCACTGACACCATCAGAGAGAATTTCACGTGCTACCTACTGAGGCCGCTTCCTAAAATTCCAATTGCTTTTCTCATTACTCACCTTGAAGCCTCTCCTTTCATCATCAGCCAAATTGCCAGTCTTTAAAATTCCCTTACATATCTCATCTCATCTACTGAAATATAACTCACATTGCATTACATTTAAACATTAGAATGTAAAATGCAATAGTATTATGTGGAATCATCACCATAATCTGTTTAGAACAGTTTCATCACTCCAAAAGAAGGTTCTGTACAATAACATTTTCTCCCCATTCCTACCTTTCCCCTCTGCTTTAGACCACCATAGACAGCTATCTTCAGTCTCTACAGATTTGCCTACTGTGTACATTTCATAGCAATAAAATCACAAAACAGTGTGACATTTTTGTGACTGATTTCCTTCATGAAGTATAATGTTTCAAGGTTCATCAGTTTTTCATTTTCTATATGTTCTTCATTCCTCTTTATTGCTGAACAATATTTCATCATTTGGAGATTAATTTTATTCATCTAGTCATTGCTTGAAACACATTTAGATTATTTCCACTTTTGACTATTATGAAAGATGCCACAATAGACAATGTTACACAAACCTTTGTGTGGAAATATATTTTCAAGTTTCTTGGTTTTTACATTTAGGAGTGAGAAGTCTAAGATAGTAGTAAGTTTTTCCAAAGAAACAGAATCAGTGGATTAGAAAGGCATACATAATATTCAAAACCAAATAAGGAGGAAATATCCATGACAATTCTGTCTATATCTATCAGCTTCTACTGTTCATTGTGTGTTTGCTTTGCCTTCCACAAGTCTCAAAGCCCATTGCGATTGTATACTTGGTACTATAACGAAAGCTTCAAACCTTCTTTCCAAATGGTTTGGGCAACTAGTGGTCTCACCTGCATTAGGTTTTCTAAAGTTTCCACTGACCTCATCCCAGGGTTTGATAATACTAAGAGATGCCCCAAGGGATCCTTAGTATTCCAAATATGTAATTCCTTACCTTCTTTGTGGAGAAGCAGTCCAATTTCCCCATGGTAGGGAACTTCCTCCACCTACCATAGTAACTATCTTTCTTGGTTTGGATGTATCAGCAACCCAAAATTTGTCCGGGTAACCATCCTAATTTCTAGGCCAACTGAGTCATTGTTATATCTCCTAATGGAAATGGTCCTCTCTTTGCTAGTAAGATGCGTAAGCCAGCAGAGCAAGAAGTTGTGGAGACAGGAAGAAAATAATGTGATAAAGCATCCTTAGGGGTGATAGTGAACAGTATAACCCTTAGTTTTACCCCTTGATTCTGTGGACAGGTTAATCCTAGTAATAGGAGAAACAGAACCATATATTGGGCATGGACTCAAAGCATATGTAGCTTTCTGAAAAATATTGCCCCAGGCTTCCTGGCATTATCATCCATGTGATGCTGTAACTACAGCTTTCAAAAGCCATTCTATCACTCCATTAAGCCAGGTGTTTCTAGAAGGTAGAGGATGTGATTAGACCAGTGAATGAGCAGGAGCTCCTTGCTGCACTTCCCTTGTGGTGAAGTGTCTTGCCAAGAAGCAGTGCTGTGTGGAAGATGAGGATGATCAATAAGGCATTCTGCAAGGCCCTGAATAATAGTTCTGTCTAAAGAACTATACACTGGGAGGAAAATCTGTATCCAGAGTAAAGCTCTATTGCAGTGAGAGAAAAATGAACATATCAACAACTTGTTGGCTGATCATGTTGGGGAACAGAGCCATTTAGGGGACCAAGGGTTTTGGTCTCTGTTGCTTAAAATGAAGCCCTCAGCAGTAGCTAAAACCTAGTCAGCCTTACTGGGTAGAAGTCCATCCATCTCTCCCACCATCTGTGGATAAACACCATTCATGCCATCGCGGACACCTTATTCACAAATCCATGGGGCAATGAAAGGGTTGACTACCAAGAAGCTGAATTACATCCACACAATGAGTCAGCATGAGTGACCATCTCCACTTGATTATGAAAAATCCTCCAAATACCTTCATACTTCTTATGGACACAGAGACTTATCCACATGCCCCTCTGTGAATAATTTCCTAATTATATTTCATTCAAATTCCTGATTGTCCAGCTAAGTAATTAATCACAATCCACAAATCTATATATAACTTTTTATCTTGTCATCTCTCATTCTCAGAAAAGTGAGAAGGTAGATGCACTTACCAAAACTTTATCCCACTGTAAGGTATTCTTTGTAAGTGCCCTTTGGCCTGACCCAGAAAGTGAATGTACTGCTATAGCTGTCCACTCTCAGGCAATGCCTACATACTGTTCAAAATAATACGTAAATGCTGAATATTTTATTCCTATGTCAACTTCTCATGAGACATAAGTGCAGCCTGGAAGAGAAAACACAGAGGAACAGTCATCAGAACCATGAACATCTTGGTACTTTATCATGTAATACGTGTACTTCCAAAGCCTTCTTGGGCCCAACTCTATATATACCATCTGCATTTGACTTGATAATAAAGTACCATGGCACATGACTGACTTTTTTTGGCAGGCCACATATCATTTGCATCATGATTTCAAGGAATACCAATTCTCATGGCTACTTAGTGACCAAAGGTAAACATTAAGTTATTACTAAGGGACAGTCACAGATGAGGAGCTCTCAAAAGGAGTATGGTTACCTGTAGGGAAGAACAAATATTTCTACAAAACTCCTAAGGTTTCCCATGATGATTCTCCTATCAGGGTTGGTCAAAGATTCCACACAGTATCCCTTTCTACCACTGACTCTTAAATCAGCATTGAATTCTCTCTCTCTCTCTCTCTCTCTCTCTCTCTCTCTCTCTCTCTCTTCTTCTTCTTCTTCTTCTCCCTCTCCCTCTCCATCTCCCTCCTTCTCTCCCTCCCTCTCTGCTAGTAGATTCAGAACGGTAGATAGCATTTCCAAGTGTGTCTTTGAAGGTTCTTCTAGAGTATATTAGTGTTTGAATTGATAAGTAAATTAAAACAAAGACAAAGAGATTAAACTAGTTTAATATAAGAAGTGAGGTACATATGGTAGAGGCTGAGATATCCCACAACCTGTCTTTTACATTTGGATGCCAAGAAAATCTCATGGTATAAATTCCAGACTGGGTTCAAAGTCCAGAGCACCAGGATCACTAATGATATTTTAGGTCCTACTTTCAGTGACAGGAGAAGACTGACATGTCATTTCATGCAGTCGGAGAGAAAGCTGGACATCAGTAGGTGGATGAGGCTTACAGAAATCTGGGCTTTACTTAGCCTAATAGTACAAACACTAATATACTCTAGGAATATTTCACAGATACACCCAGAATTAATGTTTACCAGATACACATTCACATCCTGGCAGAGTCAAGTTGACATGTAAAATTAAATATCACATCTGGTAATACGTTCAACATTTTGAAGAATAGCCAAGTTATTCCAAAGTGAATATATCATTTTACATTTTGAATAGTAATGTATGAAGATACTGATTTCTCTACATCCTTAGTAATATTGACAATTCTCTGAGATTCTTTTGTAGATTTTGTTTGCTTTTTAATAGCAACCATCACAATGAATGGGAAGAGTTGTTTCATTGTTGTTTGATTAAAATGTATCTGATACAAAACATAGTGAGAATATTGCATAAGATTTTTGTATAACTTCTTTTTATCACATTGGAATTTGCATATCCTCTTTAAAATATTTTTCAAATTCTTCACATATTTTGGAATTATCTGACTTTTAATTATTGAGTTCTAAGAGTTCTATATATATTCATGTATCTGCCCATTCCTTATCAGTATATTATTTTCAAATGTTATCTTTTCAGTTTATTGAGTTTATGCCCTCCAGTTCAAAAGCTTTAAATTGTGATATGGCCCATCTTAGCCATATTTTCCTTTGTGGTTACTTTTTTTGGTTTTCATATACAAGAAATACTTGTCTCATCTGAAGCCATGCATATTTAATCATATATTTTCTTCCAAATGTTTTATTGTAATTGTTGCATTACAAACTGTGGGCAGAGGCCCTCCCCTCCTCCCACTGCCATTGCTGCTGTGAGCCAGGTGAACTGTGCCAGAAGAGCCAGAGATGACAGAAAACACTACCGACACAGTAGAGCCCAGACCAGCGTGCACAGGCTGGACAGGTAGGACTGGCAGTGTGGAACAGTCAAAAATCAATAGCAATGTGAAGCAGCAGGTGGTAAGCTAGGTGAGCCAGCGCCGTGCATGGGGACAAAGACACACAGAAGAGGATCAGGCTGGTGGGGCTGCTCTCTCTCTCTCTCTCTCTCTCTCTCTCTCTCTCTCTCTTTCATTCTCTCTCTCTCTCTCTCTCTCTCTCTCTCTCTCTCTCTTTCATTCTCTCTCTCTCTCCCTTTTCCTTTCTCTTTTTCTTTATTCTTTTTCTTATCTCATTTCTTTTTTCTTATCTTTGTTTCTTCTTTCTAAACAGCTGGGGAGAACTGCAGCCACAGAAAACAGATTCCAGCCCCAACCCCAGAGACCAAGTTCAGATAATCCCTTGCTTACTCCCTCATTCTCTCTCTTCTGTCCACTCCTCCAGTCTGTCAAAGTGTACATGATCATCCTTTGTTCTGCAGCTGTGCTTCTGCTTTCATTTAAGTTATCCTGGTTTTATTCGCCATCCTTCTTAAATCTCCCCACCCCAGGGGGAAACGCATTACATACAAGCTCTCAATTTATGATCAGTTCTGTTATATAACTGCAGATTTTGCCCTTATGTTTTAAAGCACAAAAATAATAGCTACAATAGTTTCTCAATTTTTGAACTGCTTGATGTTATTGTTGTTGCTTATTATACTACCTTGGTTAGGATGTCATGTCTATTGTGATCAGTTGCTGTCCCTTCTGTAACAATACAGGGAAGCCCTGGGATAATAGACTCACCACAGCCTAGCCACAAAGAACGGGACAGAGCCAAAGGGATACCAACATCTCACTTCTAATTAACTAGGAAGGTAGGATCTTGGGACAAAAGTCAAGAACCTCCTACACACAGAAGACATCCCTGAGGAACAGACTTTACTTACAGAGACCTGATACTAGTATCATAGTTAACTACTACAAAAAAAGATTTACAAGGATCAACAAAGATAACAACATAAAAAATTTTGGAATACAAAATGACAAGACAAAGAAGCAAGATTCAATCTCAGACTTCCAGGCCACCAAGAACAAGTGCAGGAAACAAGAAGATAGAGGAAAATAGAAGTCACATACCTGAAATTTCTGAAAAGATTGCAGCCAAAAAAAGAAGAAAGAAACAAATGAGGATGCTACAGAGAAAATTAGATCAGAAATGATCTCACTGGTAAAAAAAAAAAAATGTCAGTGTTCATAAAGGAATTCGTCAGCAAACCTACAGTAGATATACACAGAAAAAGATGGTAATATCAAAAGAATGGAAACCATGAATTGTCAATATAGGAAAGTAACAGAATGTATGAAAAAGTTTAAAACATACTTAAGATATTAAAATTTCCATTGAAAGTTGGCAAAACCGCTTCAGTGAGACTGAAGATGAATTTCAGAACCTGAGCACGGGTCCACAGTTAGTGATCACAAAAGGTAAGGTCTCCTAAAAATAATATCCCAGGAATAATGACTATCACCAAAAAAATCAATCTGTAAAAATGCTGGAGAGGCTGTACTGAAAAAGGAGTCCTTCTCCACTGTCGCTGGGAGTGCAGACTGCAGCACTGTGGAAAGCAGGACGGGGATTCCTCAAAACTGCAGGCCCCACTCCATCCATTTACTCCCCTTCTGGGTATCTTCCCAGAAGAATTCATAGTACCGTACCCAAACTATAAATGTGCACCAACGTTTTCAGCAGCACAATTTGTAAAACCTAAGTCATGGAAACAACCCAAATGCTCAGAAACCAAGGAATGGATAAAAACATGTGGCAGTTTTATGCAATGGCATAATACTGAACTATGAAGAAGGATAAACCTGAGACTTTCATAGGTAAATGGATGCAACTTGAGACCATACTCACTAGTGAAATACATCAGATTTACATGTATAAACATCATATTGTTCCCCTGATGTGAGAAACAGAAGAGTAAATAAGGTCTACAAGTATAATAGATTTTGTGAAATGAGATGACACTGTTAAAAAAGAAAAACTAGGATGGGGGTGTGGGAAAGAAAGGTAAGGAAAAGAGAGAAAAATGCATGTTAGTCATACTGTCAGTGTCTGTTAGTTCATTAAAAATGGTCTACAGTAATATCAGTTGGAGAATTTTTTATGCCCATGTCTTAGACTCAGAGTACCTACTGTAAAGATAATATTATGCAAAATATTGACTATTGTTATTCTATCATCTTCTTATGAAATTTTATTTTATCTGTTTTCTATAAAAAAATCTGTGATCCATTTCTAGTTAATTTTTCTGTATTGTGTGAGTTAAGGGACACAATCCATACCCTTTTCCCTGAACTCTTCCCAGTGGGCATCTGCCAGATTTCATTTTATTCATCCGATTCTTAATTTGTTACTATAAATTAAATGTTTTTTCTTGATTTTATTTATGAAATTTTACTTATGTCTAGATTCACAACTGGGATATAGCTAGATGGATTGATAGGTATGTATATCATATCAGCGAAATTATTAATTAATTCCAGGAAACATTAAATTCTCAGATTTCCCCATATACATAGTCATGTCTTCTGTTTTCTTTCTTTCTAGTATATATAATTACAAATTTCTATTATTCTTGTTTAAGACAACCTTGTGTAATTCCTGGGAATACAAGTAAAATATCTGGCCACTAAATATTGATGTCAGCTTTGAATTTTATAAATGTCCATATCAAATTGAGCAAAGTTTGCCTGTATTCATACATAATGTTTGAGTTTATAATTTTCATGAAATGTATTGTGCTCTTTAAAAAGTCCTTGCCTGTGCCTATGTCTTCAAGAATTACACTTACCCTCTAGAAGACTGCTTCTGTTTCAACATTTAGGTCTTAGATCACATTTAGGTCTTATCCATTTTCATTTTGGTCTAGTACATTTTGAGAGATAAAGGCTCTAAATTTAATCTTTTGATGTGGATAGGCATTTTTTTTTCAGTACCATTTGTTTAAAAGAGTATCTTTCCTTCGGTGTATTTTTGACCCTGTTGTTGAAGATCAGTTGGCTGAATGTGCCTGGGGATTTAATTCCATTCCTCATTCTGGTCTATTCTTTCACATCTCTCTTTGGTACCAATATTGTGCTGCTTTTATCAGTGTAGCTTTGTACCGTACTTTGAAATTTGGGATTTTGGTGGCTCATGAATTGCTCTCATTGCTATTCTTAATCACTTGTGGTTTCATGTGAACTTTAGGATTCTA